TGCGAGCAGCACTGCATGCTGCTGGCCGGCGTCGGCCCAGCCTGAGTTGCCGTTGAGGTAGCCCCAGTCGCCGGGCGTCGTGTCGGTGTCGGCGTCGGCCGGGTTGAGGCCCACGAGCTCGGCAATGGCACGCCTGCTCGGCAACTCGGTGAGCCTGGCGGCGTCGATGCCGCACTCCTTCCTCTGGGCGAGGCGCTTGACGTTGGCGTAGCTGTCGCGGACATAGTCCATCTGCGTGCGCGTCTTGACGTGGGCTGGGGGCGCGTCGGCAATGAGAGCCATGCCCGACTCTGTGTAGCGGCCATCTTCGCCGAGGGGGCTGTGGCGCCAGTGGTGATGGGCTGCGGCGGCGAGAGCCGAGTAGGCGGGGTCTGCGTAGTCGGGACGGATGATGCGCGAAGAGTCGATGCTCGAGGCGTCGTGGGAAGGGAAGACGCCTTGTTCGGGGGAGCGGTCGAGAATGGTGATCTCAGTCTTGGCGTAGGCCGGACGAAGGGCCAAGGCGAGGGCTGTGGAAAGGCCAAAGACGCCTGAGCCGATGATGAGGATCGACGAGGGGGGCGAGGAGGTCGACATTGTGAGGTCGGCAAAGGGGGGGAGATCAGGGAGAGGTGTGCCCAGCAAGGGATCTGACGATGCCTTCAAGCGGCAGAGCCACAGAAGGAAGAAGAAATTCAGAAGAGTTCGCCATCGTCAATGCCGTTGTCGGACGTTGGTGGTGTGTGTGCAGGTGGGGGTGGGCCTTTGTGTTGGGGATGCGGTTGGGTGCGGCCTCGAGAGAAGAGAAGGCGGTGGCCACATGACTCGGGTCTTCTGCCGGGCCGGTGCTCAGTTCGGTCGAGATGCCGAGTCAGACGGCTTCGGTGTCGGGCTTTATTTACTACACGTCACCACCACATCAGCACATCATGATGCCCAGCATTTTCGGTGATGAGACGCCATGCCTTGTTTCGAGACCACGTGGGATGATGGCTCGGCCCAGATCCATATCCCAGAAGAGCGCGGCACAGCACATGCTTCAGCAGTAGCCATATGCAGCAGCAGCCACATGCAGCAGCATCCGTCATCCGTCAGCAGCGTCAGCAAGGTTCAACATCCTAATCGAACATCCTTAGGGAGCATACCATTTGGACATTCTGTGTTGAACATACCACTCTTCTCTGTCAAGACTCTCCCGCTTTGAATCCGATCGTGATTTCCCCCACTTGATTTTCTTTTGCTGAGAATGGCTGCGTTCCACCCCTTTCCTCAGCTGCCTGCTGAACTACGTCTGCAGATCTGGCATCTAGCAGCGCAACCACGGCTCCTCGTCATCGGGAAAGCCAGTGCCGACGCCACAGACTTCACGTCCCCGACCAGACCACCCCCCCTAACGCAAGCATGCCGCGAGGCGAGAACCTCAGGGCCGTACGAGAAAGCGTTCTTCAGCAGCGACAGCCCGCCCCGCTACGCCTGGGCCAACTTCGACCTCGACACGATCCACGTCGACTGCGCGCACATCTGCAGAGACGACCTGTGCGGCGTCTTTCCCGAGCGCGCCTCGATCCAGTGCCTCCAGGCCGAGGCCACGGGCGACGACTTCGGCTGGATCAGCGACAACTGCCTGCTCTTCTCGCCGCAGGGCTTCGGCGCCTTTCCGCAGCTGCGGCGCTTCGACCTCGTCGTCGACTTTGACCTCGCCCTGTGGGCGGGCTTCATCGGCGACACGTACTTTGGGCCCCGCTGTCCGAGGGCCAACGTCCGGGTCATCTGCGCGCCGACGGGCGAGTGGATAGGCGAATCGACGAGCCGCTGGTACGGGGACTGGTACTCGCTGCACGTCGCCGACTTTGAGCCGGCGCGGCGGCTCGAGCCGGGCGAGGACGACTACTACCGCTCTGAGGTGTGTCCTTCGCAGTTTATCGTGCCGTGGGCGTATTCGCCGCTGGCGGGCGGGGAGGCCACAGAGCAGACAGAAGACGCGGCTTCGCTGATGGCGCTCGCGGAGGCGTCCTGGCTGGAGGAGGCGATGCACGCTGTTGAGATTGACGGTTCAATGGCGTAGACTTTTGCAGGAGCTCGCCTCATGACCGTGTCGTAAAGCGGCCAGAATGAAGGCTAACTTTTTTTTTTCGGTCAAGTTTCTGTACACTTTGAACACGAAGCCTGAAGCAACCGAGATTAATACCCTTCATGGTACGCAAGGATACTGTGACTAGCATGGTTTACCCGTCCTTAGTACCTAGCCCCGGCGGTGAACCTTTGGGTAGCTGAGAACCCGGATGCAGTCCCAATCCTGGGGACCTTGGTGGACAAGCAAGAATGGCACGCGATGTAATGAGATTGATCTTGCTTGAGCCCCATTCCGGTGGATGCAGACAGGAGAGGAGCTCTTGACAGCAATGGAACACTGCCGAGGCTCTTATAGGACTGCGCGACCCTCAGAAGGATCACCAATTCCGTACGTCAAGCCGTCGGTGAACTCCGCTGCCGCAGAGGCTGACCCAGGATCTGGGTCAAAGGCAAGAGGTGTCATCCCAATCTCGCCATTTACGCCAAGGTTAGATCCAGGGCTTCGGATGCTTTATCTCCTAGAACTAGTTATACCTGTACGTAGGTACTTGCGAAGCGTCCATAAGAATGATCTAGTGTCGGTTCCCTTTTACGGCTATCGTCAAGGGTCTCAAGTGGTCATTCCCATGAGGTGAAATGGCCCGACAGCCTTAGACTTGATAGGAAGCCTTACACTTGATAGGGGATGCTTTTGGCTCAATGGCCTGAGTGGTACACTGCTAGCACCCCAAGATATTGCAGGTTACTTCTTGGGCCATGCCCCACCAGAATCTAGAGGCTGTTAAGCGTCTCCTCGTAGCTGGGGGCCTGCTTCATCATGGTCATGTAGAGAGCTTCGGCCACTCGACACTCGACGAGGCACTTCCGATAGCCCCTTTCCCGCGTGTCCTATCTGGACCAACTGACTGCCTGGACCTGCCTGGAGGCTGAGGCCTGAACGATGACCACCGTCCGAAGTGCCTGTCAGGGTTGTCGAATCATTCCTCTTGGTCTGACGAATAGAGTGCTTTTGAAGCGCTGAATGGTGTACGGCGAAACTGTATCACCTCAAGCAGGTTCACCTGGGCGTGTTGACTGTGTTCTGAAATACAATGTCGAGTTGCCGTGGGGCGTAGCACACAGGGTGCGGAATCGCCTATACACATATGCATGTACCGGGACCAGTACCTACCTCGTCACAACCACTCACTTTCGTCACTACCTCCAAACCCACCCGCAACAAGCCGACGCTGCCTTCCAGCCGACTACGGACCACGCCAATCCGACGATATCTCTCCAGACCTACCTACCTACCTAGGTACCTTGAATAGGTAGCTCGCACGACCACAAGCACCTTCGATCACAACCGAACTTAGCTCGATCACAACCTGTCAGCCCCCATCGCGAGCAACACCCCTCCGCGAAGCTCCCTCGCCATGCGCCCCAGCACCTAACAACCCCCCCCTCGAAAGAAAAGCCATGTCCTCCAAGAAGATCGCCGAGTTCCCCAACGTCGAAGCCAAGCTGCAGAAACCGACAAAGCAATCCGCCTTTGAGAAGCAGCGCGCCGAAGCCGAAGCTAAACGGGCGCGGGAAGCCGCCGAGACGGCCGCCGTGCTCAGGGAGTTCGAAGCGAGCTTTGACGACGACGACGACAACGGCCGCGATGGTCATGGCGGAGGCGGCGGCGGCGGTGGAGGCCGCTACGGTGTTTCCTCGCAGCAGGGTGGTCCGGGCCGCGGGCTGACGGGCGGCGGCGGTGGTGGTTTCGGCGGCCCGCCGGCGGCGTCGAGGCGGCATTTCGGCGCGCCGGCGCTGAAAATGGGCCCGGGGAGTCTGGGCCCTGTGCCGCCGAAGAGTGGACCGGTTGGTCTGGGGTTCGCGCCGAGTTCGTACGGCGGCGGGAAGAAAGAAGGGGGTTCCGACGCGTACAGCCGGCAGGAGGAAGGGACGGCCAGGCTTGGGTTCGACGCGCGCGGGCGAGCCGCTGTCGGTGGCCAAGGTGTTTCACCACAGCGACGACGAGGACGACGAGGGAGGCCATCACAAGGGCGGCGCGAGGGCCGAGGAGATGGCTGTGGCGCGGCCGACGCTGCGGCTGTCGCAGATTCCGCCGGGTACCTCACCGGCGTTCATCAAGTCGCTGATGCCGCCGTCGCTGACGGTCGAGGACGTCAAGATGGTGCCGACGTCTGGTTCGTCAACCGAGAGGAAATGCACCGTTGCCGTCGTCACACTGTCGCAGGAGACGCCGGCTACGGGAGATCGACGCCGCCGTCAGCTTGCTGCAGAACCGGTACTTGGGCTACGGCTTCTACCTGTCCCTCCATCGCCACCTGTCCTCGGCAGTCTCGTCCGTCGCAGCGCCGACCCTAACCGCCTCATCGACAGGCTCCCAGCCGTTTGGCGCGAAACCCGTCGCGCAGCAGGCAGGCCCCGGAAACGGCCCCTCCCAACAGACACACCGCGGTTTTGCTCCGCCGACTTCCTACAACCAAATGGCCGGCGCAGCAGTCAACAGAAACAGCATCCTCCACGTCCCCGTAACGCCACCGCACGACGTCAAGACGCTCCAGCTCATCAACAAGACGCTCGAATCAGTCCTGGAACACGGGCCGGAGTTTGAGGCACTGCTGATGACGCGAGCCGAGGTCCAGCGTGAGGAGAAATGGGCCTGGCTGTGGGACGCCAGGAGCGTGGGCGGTGTATGGTACCGTTGGCGGCTCTGGGAAATCGTGACGGGCTCGTCGTCGAGCAGCAGCAAAGGGCGCTACCTACCTCTCTTTGACGGCAGCCATGCGTGGAAGGCGCCGGAGAAGAAGTTACCGTTTGAGTACACGACACACATTGACGAGTTCATCTCGGATTCAGAGTACAACTCGTCTGACGAGGAGGACATGGACGGCGAGGCCAACCGCGAGGCAAACGCAGGCGCCGAGGTTGAAAACACTTTTCTGAACCCCCTCGACAAGGCCAAGCTCACTCATCTCCTGTCACGACTGCCAACGACGCTATCAAGAATACGAAAGGGGGACATTGCACGCATCACGGCTTTTGCTCTAACACATGCCAGCCGTGGCGCCGATGAGGCTGTCGCCATGATTGCCGCAAACATCAACAAACCATTGGCTCTCACGGCCGCCAACCCGGCTCTGTCGAGAGACGAAAGAGACAAGAGCAAACAGCGCGACGGCTCGGACCAATCCGACACGGAGCAGGATGGCAAAGCGGACAAGGAGAAGGAGAGTCAGGACACGAGCGGAGCCAGTCTTGTGGGACTCTACGTGGTGAGCGACATTCTCTCGTCGTCCTCGACGAGTGGAATACGACACGCGTGGCGATTCAGACAGCACTTTGAGGGCGCGCTCAAGGATGCCAAGGTGTTCGAAAAGCTGGGCCTCATGGCCGACAAGCTCCGCTGGGGTCGACTCAAGGCAGACAAGTGGAAACGCAGTGTAGGCATGGTTCTCAGCCTCTGGGAGGGCTGGTGTGTCTTCCCTGCTGAGAGCCAGGCGTTCTTCACGAACACGTTTGAGAACCCGCCATCGCTCAAGACCCAGGCTTCTACGGACGAGGGTCTGAAGAAGGGCAAGTGGAAGGTTGTCGAGGCGTCTACACTGGCCGGCGTCGACACGTTGCCTGAGGCAGTCGAAAAGGCAGATGACGGTGATGTCGAGGGCGAACCAATGGAAGAGGATGATGTGGCTGGTGAGCCAATGGAGGACTACGATGTGGCTGGTGAACCGATGGATGACGAAGATGTGGCGGGCGAACCGATGGACGAAGAGGACGTCGAGGGCGAACCAATGGAGGACGACGTGGAAGGCGAGCCAATGGAGGACGACGTTGATGGCGAAAAACGAGACACTACAGCACTCGAGGCGTCGTCCCAGGCAGGCGGGAATGCGCAGGTGATACCCGCAGGTTCTGGGCCAGGGAGGAAGCGAATGAGGGCCGTGGACATGTTTGCGGAATCCGGCGACTCGGACTAGAGGTTTTGCGACGGAAACAGGGCTCAGGGTTGGTTGGTGGTGGGCTGTTAATACTGTTAATATTGCGCAGCCGCTCGACATGCGTGTGCCATGTTCGCGCGTTTGAGGGCCCGACGCAACCTGATCGAGGCGAGATACCCAGACAGAGGGGCCAGGCTTCGATTTAAATTGCCCCTTCTGGACTTTGGCTGAGGCCACCCCCAATGGAGCGGTTCCGGTTACGAAATATGCAGTGGTCAAGGGTCGGCCGCGGTACCTGGGTCCCATGAGCGACGGCCAACCAGGATGAATAGAGTGAGTGCATGTCAGTGTTGGACCCTGGAGGTCAGCATAACGCCACTTTGTGGAGGGATTGTAAGTTTTTATCCGCCACCGTCGATGAAGTAGGGCCGCTCGTGGACGGATAGCGAACTGGATATTGGAGCAGGTCGATGGTCGAGGCGCCCATGTGACGTGAGCCATGGCTGCAGACAATCTTGTCAACATGTCCCCCTTCTGGGCTTGAACCGTTGTCAGTACCTTTGATCTGGGACAACGACGACAAAAGGTATATGTAGGATTGACCGACGTCAGAGAAAGTGGGATGACATGGATGGATGTACAACCCCCTTCGTTGGCGAGCCAGAGTGGATGACGGAGGGGCGGGCGAAGAGACGACATGGCAACCTGCTCACATTCTCTACCACCCGCACCCGCACCCGCACCCGCACCCGCACCCGCACCCGCACCCGAACTCACAAGCACATACAAGCCCATCCATCCCATGCAGTGAAGGCCGTGATGGGCCGAGTTCCGAGCCGGTGCCGTGATGTGTTCGAAGCAGAAGCGAGATGGTCTGCCGCATCGCTAGTGGGAATGGCGTCTACAAGGGACCCTCTTGGGATTCAACCGGCGGTTTGGGATCGCCGTGGACTCGCACGTTGGACGAAGACTGCCCTTCCACTAGCAGTGAACAGAGAGGTGTTGGCAAACTCTTTGAGGCAGAGAGCAGGACCAGGACAAGGACCAGGACAGACCTCAGGTGGAGTCGAGGAACGGGTGTTGTCAGTGCACCCAATCCCGAAAACTTGCTCACTTCTGTCTGTTAGGCGCCCCTTGTCACTGCTGTTTGGACACCCGTTTGCCTGTTTGCGGCAAGAACGCATGGGGGCGAGTGGGGGAGGCTTGCCAGCTTCCTGCCAGCTTCTGCCCACCGTCACTGCCTCCAGGCCTCCATCGGCCTTCGTTTCAGGGGTCCTCTGCAGGGCCGAACAGGCAGGCAGGGAGGGCCGGATTGGAAGCACCCCTGGGTCCCACCTTCCAACCCCACCCCCCTCCAGCTCCAGGCTCTGGGCCGCACTTGATCGATGCTTTCTCATCCCCGTCTCACCACGACATGCCCCCGTCCCCAGCCGAGTCGAGAACCACCACCCCCCCCTCCAACTGCGAGCGCCGGCGCCTTGGAAAGCAACTCCGATTTTTCATCCGTTCCTTGTCCTCGCCTGTGTCAGAGAGGAAAAGAGAGAGAGAGAGAGAGCGAGGGTGCGCGCGCATGAGAGGAGACATCATTGCACCATGCGTTGACCTCATCACCCGCTCTCCCGTGTCTCTACAGCCTGACGCTATTCCGTCAAAAGTCCACGCCTTCGCCCACCTTGGTAGCTCTTTTCGATTACCTAGCACGAACGAACGCACAACACCAAAGAACGGCAAGCCAGCCAAAAACAGCTCCAGCACCAGCGATTCTCTGTCCGACCGCAATCCAAGACCGCGCCGCCCCACGCCATCGGCCGCCGGGACAGATCCAGGAGGCTAGCCTGCTTTATCCTCGTGATACCTGAGACCCTTACTTTACCTCTACCGACTTTCGCCTTCCCCTCCTCTCACGCCTGCCTACGCCTTTTTCGTGCGCACACTCGCCGACGAGAACCAGGCCATTATTTCCCCCGATCGCCAGCTGCCCGCTTACACTCTCTAACGCACCACACAAGGCTACCAGCCTACCTATGTGAGGAGGACCCTGATCCGCGTCCCTCAGGAGCCGTGCCGCCAAACACCAGGTCGACTTTCTACTTTGCTTACCGCGCAAGATACCCGCCCACTACCTGCCCCCCCCCCCCCCTCCCCCCCCTCAGGGGGGGGCGCGCCCTGCCCATCCATGTTCTGCCCCTGCTTCGCCTTGCCTTGCCTTGCGGGCGCGGGAAATAAACCCCCCCTCTCTCATCCATCGGCCGTCCAACGGTACACCGCGTTTTCTCCGTCCGTTTCCCCGTTCCTTCAACAAACTTTCTCGGCATTTCTTACCCTGCGACCTCCTTCCGCGCCCCGACGTTGCTCGATACCTTTGGAATCAACACGGAGAGCGCGAAAACCCAGTTCCTGGCCCTCGTCTGCGACAAGAGCTCTGGTACGTGCGTCAGGGCTCAACTTTGCCTATCGTCTGTGTCTGTATTCACGACCACGATCACGACGCCTACTCCGTCAATAGCCCTCTGCGGCCCCGATTCACGCCCACTCGCCGCCCTCTTGTCGGCGGCCTCTCGATTTGATCGACAGTCGTCTGACTCGATCGACAATTGTCTGGCTTGGTGATAGCAATCCTCCTCTTGACACACATCTCAAAACCAGCCCACCATGCCGCTCATCAACGGTCAGAAGATGGCCTGGTATGTTCACCCCTCATTTCATATATCCCTTTGATCGTTCCTGAAGCCTTCTCTTCCCCGTCGAATCTCTAAAGCGCCCTCTTCTCCTACCTCCAACCACCCCACTGACCTGTCACCCGCCCCCTTGCAGCGAGCCATGTATCCGCGGCCATCGTTCCACCAAATGCACGCACGCAAACGAGCGCCTCATGGTACCCGTGCGGAAACCCGGCAGGCCTCTCAGCACATGCCCGCACCCGCCGAGTCGTGGCTGCGGCTGTGGCAGTGTGACGGCCGCCATCCCGAGAAAGCAGAAATGTAACTGCGGTCCGTCGACGCCCGCCGACTCCGACATTATCAAAGTCGAGTCTCCCGCCAGCGAGGCCGTTCCTACGTCGCCAGCTCGGTCCTCCACCGTGTCGAGCGCATCGTACCGAGTCCAGAAGCAAACCAGCAAACCCAGCAGCCGAAAACAGTCTTTCGGACCCGCCACACTAGACCGCATCGACAGCAGTCAGTTCAACATTATCCCGGCCTTTGACGCAGCTCAGACGATACCGCCACACCTAAACGGCGGCATGGATGCCATGGGAATGCCGACGCCCAGGCCGAGCATGGAGTATGGCCAAATGCCCATGATGGGACCTGATGGAATCTTGCAGAGTCATATGGTGTTCCCCATGTATCAAACTCCCATGCCGCCCATCATGCTGCCGCCAGATGTCCAAAAGCAGCCGGAGGGGCCGACCATGGCCGCACCGAAGCCTCCTACTGCCAACCCAGCAACAGACAGCCCGAAGAATGGCGGAGGCGGCTCCTGTTGCTCAGGGGGCGCCAAGAGCGCCAAAACGACCCCGCCGGTCAGCACCGAATCCAGCCCAAAGGTCGCCCCGAAGCCTAGCACGGGCAGCTGCTGCTCGTCGAAGAACAAGAGCCCGCCCTCGACGAAGAATGGAACTCTCAACGGAACGCCGCTACCGGCTATCAACGGAGTGGCCGTGCCGCCATTCCAGCCGCCCACCGCCCTGGCGTCGCAGGTGTTCCAGCAGTATTACCCCCAGCCGACGCTCTTCCACTATCCGGCCAGCTACGGCTCCTACATGACGCCACTCCAACCCGCTCAGTGGCGGCAGACAATGCAGGCGTTGCAGTACCGACAGGCTCTGCCTGCGAATGGGTCATACGACATACCGACGCCGATGGTCTACGGTCAGAATGCTTCGCCAGTAAACGGCATGGGGACATCTCATGAATGCACATGCGGCGACGGTTGCCAGTGTGTCGGCTGCGCAGCTCACCCATACAACAATGCAACGCAGGATTACGTCCGCTCGGCCTGGCAGAGCATGGTGGAGGACTCCTACCAACACTCCAACGGCCATGGGCTGCACGTTGCGAATGGCAGCGACGGGGCCAACGGAACCAACGGAACCAACGGACACGCTGACGGGATCAATGGCGCCTCAGACCTCCCTCCGTCTCGGGATGGCGAGGTGAGCGGCTCGCCTACGGCTCCACAAACGCCTTCTGATGCGACGTCTGGCGTGGGCGAGGAGCTCTCCGCCAATGACTTCTTCTTCGTCAACTATCCATTCGGTGGGGATTCCTGCTCAGGAGAGACAGCCTTCTGTCCTTGTGGTGATGACTGTCAGTGCTTGGGTTGTTCGATACACAACAACACGACGGTCCCGGTGCCGGAGGCATAAACGGCGGGGACGAGCGAGAAAAAGGAGGGGTACTTGATGACATTTGCTGGTATGAAATGATGGGCATTTTTACATATACTGGCACATGGGTCGCACAATCGCGCTTTAACGAATGAGCCTTCTTTTGCCATGAAGGACGATGATCGATACCCTTGAACAGTGGGAAGGAGAGGAGAAACAACTAGGTAGCATATAGAGATGTCCATGTGGTGATGGACCGCAAGTGGCGCGAAGCCCCACTCTGTGCATATCCCCCACAAAGCGATGATTCCCATTACCACCTGAATGAAACATTCGCCAGCCGTTCATGCACAGACACGAGACGACGCCTCATCCCAACCACGCTGCGACACCAGTTCTCTCCCCCACGTCATCGTCTCTTCTTCAAACATCCGTGAAACGGAACAGATCTGCATAACGCTTGCGACGAAAGATCCGATCGACCGAGCGGCCAACGCACTGACACAGAGCCAGGCAAAAAGGGTTCCACTGACGGGTGTCATCCGAGCTGGGATCATCGTGAGACACATGCTTTCACTCAGGCGACCAACGACATACCAACAACACTCGACTCAAGCCAGATCTGGCACATGAGCAACTTGACGTTGGCTTGCATCTCGCGCGACTTTAACCTCCCTCTCCCGGAATCAAGACCAATCATAAGAAAGGGACCAAAGATGCCAGGCCACAACGACGACCAGCACACCAAGGCCCCTCGCCGGGGGGCGTTGAGATCCCGCTCCCGCTCTCGCTCCCCGCGCGCCTCAGACAATGACCGCCGCTCCCACCACCACCGCCGCCGCTCCCCAGACGCCTCTACCTCGCGCCGCCACGAGACGCAGCACCACCACCACCACCACCACCATCACAAACACCGCTCGTCCCGCCGCGAGCGCCCCGCGCGGCAGCAGCTCCCCTTTGAGGCGCGCCCGCTGCACAAGTCGGACCTGGCCGCCTTCCGCCCGCTGTTCGCCTACTATCTCGACCTGCAAAAGGGGCGCGACATCCAGGCCATGGACGAGCGCGAGGCGCGCGGGCGGTGGAAGTCGTTTGTCGGCAAGTGGAACGACGGCGCGTTGAGCGAAGGGTGGTATGACCCCGCCATGTTTGCGTCGGCCGTCGAGCGGGCGCGGGAGATTGGGCTCGACGACGAGCGTGACGATGACGATCATGGCGGCGGAGGAACCAGCGGCGTGTTGCTGCTGCTCGTACGACGGCTTCGAGACGCGCGACGAGCGAGGGGCGCGGGACTGACAGCGACGACGACGACGACGACATGGGACCCGCGCTGCCGCCGTCTGCGAGGTGGGGGGCTGCTGCTGGCGCGAGGGCCGGGCCGGGGATGCCGAGCCTCGACGATGTGGCGGCGTCGCGCGAGCAGAGGGCCGAGGACGCGGCGCGCGCGCGCAGGGAGGCGGCGGAGGATCTGCGGCACGAGAGAAGGGCGGACCGGCGGGAGCAGCGGGAGAAGCTGGACGAGCTCGTGCCGCGGGCCGAGGCCGGGACGAGGGAGCGCAGGCTGGAGAAGAAGGCCATGGTCAACGACAAGATGAAGGGGTTCCGAGAGGGGTCGCCGGGGGCGGCGGTCGTCGGGGACCGGGAGCTCATGGGCGGGGGCGACGGCGTGGAGGAGCTGCGCAGGGAGCGGGAGCGGGAAGAGAGGAAGAAGACGGAGCGGGAGCTGCGCCGGGAGGAGATTGCCAGGGCCAAGGCTGCCGAGCGGGAGGAACGCGTGCGGGAGTGGAAGGAGAGGGAAGAGGGCACCATGAAGGCGTTGAAGGAGCTGGCCAAGGCGAGGTTTGGCTAGTCTTGTCTGTCCTGTGCAGCAAGGGGCTACCTAGTGCCTGCTCTCATTTCTCGAGGTTGAGGTTTGAGATGCTTGTGTGGTTTTCTCTACTTTTGCAGCATTCAGGTATTCAGGCCTGGATTTACTACAGATTTCTACCATTCGTTGGTTGCGTTGCTTGATGGTCAGTCTGTGCATTGGTTGACATGTTGGGATGATGACAGGCGGCCCGGCATGCCCCTAACGGTACCCATCGGGGCGCAGGTCACCTTGGGTTCGTGGAATATGTACACCAGCAGATTCTCGTCCAGCTGGCTGATGGGAACCATTTCGGACTCACGAATCAGTGATCGAAACAGGTAAATTGACGCCCAGGTCCTAGGTCGCTGTAGCCCCTGAGCTCCCTTCTTTTTACAGTCTTTATGTTACGACATTCAGTTCAATTCAAGTCTGTATTCGTTGGTTTTGCTTTGGGAAAACATGGCTTGATGGTTAACCACACGGACCATTATTCTAATTCGAGTGGATTGCTGAGCAATTTCACCGCCATGGACCTTGATATTCATCGTCATCTGGGGCCGTAAATGCTGCTCCTGTAATGAATTGTCCTGACTACCAGCTCGAGACAGTTTAGATGTCGTTTTCCAGTACTTTGAGCCTGCTCTGAACCTCCATCTGTCTTGTTGCTGTGGCTGACAACTGGTCTCATCCAGCACTGTTTCCAGCTCTTGGGCAACTAATTGAGTATCTCCGCCACAGTTTATCGATGACTCCACAATTTTCATCATGAGCAGAAATTCATCGATGAGATTGTTGGCGACTGGTGGACAATGTCAAATTCTCTTCTGTCGGACTTCCTCCTGTTCGTGCACGGACACCTCACGTGACACATATACTGCAAATGGACGGCGGCGGCAGGTCAGAGATAAGCAGGAATACGACAAGCTCGAGTTCATCTAGTGTCAGATCCAAACCATAGCTCTGTGCGTTGGGAAACCCTTCAGATGTTTCTCCCGGGGCATGTCCGTGTACAATGTGCAAGCAAGGTTGAAGGGTGCGCGCAACGGGTCGCATCCATATGCAGGGACCCCACTCTTGACCACATCTCAGGGTCCAACTCAATTCTGACTCTGAGATTTTCCCCTCACTCACTCAGAGCCTGGCCTTCATAAAAACTTAAGCTCTGAAGTCCTGTAAGCAGTTCAGGCCTCATTCGAACGGCCCAAGACTTACATTCGGACCAGGATACCCTCACGAAGGACCTCACAGCACATGCCAAATCTTGAAATTACCCCACCAACGACCCCGCCATCAGGATTCCTCACCAACATTAACATCACCTATCCCACAGGACTCCGCCACTATGCCTTCCGACAATGAGGACGACGTGGGCGATATGTTTGCGGAACCAGAAGACTACTACCCACCCACCCCGCCACCGACCTCCGTCACCCACACCCTCGCCTCGGGCCGCACCCTGACGCTGCACCTCGTCGGCTACAGCGCGACAGAGGCCCACCACCTCTGGAACGGCTCTCGCGTCGTCTCCGACTACTTCGAGGCCCTCCCAGCAAGGGTCGCCTCGCGCACCGTCCTCGAGATTGGCGCCGGCGCCGGCCTCCCGTCCCTCACCGCCGGCCTCCTCGGCGCGCGCCGCGTCGTCATGTCTGACTACCACGACGTCGACATAGTGCAGACGATGCAGAAGAACATTGACGTCTGCGAGGGCGCCGACGAGGTTGTGGCCAAGGGCTACGTCTGGGGCGCCGATCCGGCGCCGTTGCTCGCCGAGTTGCCCGAGCCCGAGGCCAAGTTTGATGTCCTCATCCTTGCAGACCTGCTGTTCCGGCACTCAGAGCACGGGACGCTGGTGAAGACAATCGGTATGACAATGTCCAAGAAAAAGGAGAGCAGGGCATACGTCTTCTTCACTTCCTACAGGCCGTGGCTGCGCCACAAGGACCTCGTGTTCTTCGATGTGGCTAGGGAGAAGGGTTTCCTGGTGGAGCAGGTGATCGACCGCAAGATGGAGAAGAAGCTCTTCGAGAACGACCCTGGCGATGAGGAAGTGCTGAAGACGGTATCGGGGTATGAGTTGCGGTGGCCGGAATCCGAGTGCGAGCTTTGAGAGGTTGTTGGACCTAGGATCGGGACCAAACGGCGGCTAAAACTACAACAAAGGCGTAACAGGCGGGCATATGATCACAGTCTAGTTGCGTGAATGACTATGATCCTTGGGGTAGGGGCTGCAGTAGGTGCGGAAATGGCTCATCCAAGGGCAAAAATGCAGTGGATACTGCCTTTATTCAGGAGCCTAGAACTGCATTCACACGAATGACGAGATCACGAGCTTCTCCTGGCATCGATTCATTGGAGCATACGCAGCCACACAGTTCCGTACACATCAACTGCATACCTTCCCACCACTGAGGCGCAGAGTTGAACGCCCAAGCCGGGGGGCCCAGCAAAGAGCTCGGGCAGGAGCTCTGAATGACCTCTGATGGCCAATGGCAACCGTGTGGACCGAGATCATCCGAACTCAAAAGCCTGCAAGCTGCCAGAGGTCTGGGACAAGGCGAGTTAACCGTAGAACGAGGGGAGGGGGATCATGGAATATTCCAAGGCGGGGGTGGCCTTCGATGCAGAACGCCTAGCTATCGACATGGGTGCCGTGCAAGGTGACATGGTGCTACGTCGACAATGTTGTGTCAGTAGGTGGAACTCTGCTGAAAGACCTGGCTATGAGCAGTAACTGGTACCCAACTTACACTGCATACAGACGACCGAAGTGTGTATCTGTCTCCTTCTAACTCTGGCTGCCCATTGTCAACGTTGTGGCCACACTCCAGTCGCTGATACAATGCCGGACAAGTCCAGGTTTGTCACCCGTCGGGTATGAGGCAGCTTTGAACAGCCGAGATCATGTGTTGTAGCCAGGGATACTGCATGTGCAGGCTCGGCTTCGAGTTGCGCTACGAGGGCGCTGATAGTAGAGGGTGAAGGTATCGTAGCTGTGCCCCGTTTCCCCCACAGGCGTGTCTCGAAAAAAGAACCTCAAGCTGTAAATTAACACCCACACAGGGCCATACCACCCGGACAATCAACACACCTCTGGACCCAAATCATATGCAGCATCTTTAGCGCTCGTCTGCGCAATGTGCCTGTAGTGGTGGTCTGCCGGGGCGGGGGCGGGGGGTGTTCGTCCAATGTGGTGGCACAGGAGGTGGTTGAAAGTCAGGCGTACAATCTCGAGCTAGAAACGGTGCAGGTGTTTCGTGATACCACTGGGCGCCGAGGGAGGACCGTCCAAGACTCAGGGCCGACACAGGGCGAAGAAACAAGAATAGTTGTGAGCTGAAGGCTGTTGTTTGACGAAGGTCGTCGACCAAATGCAAGCCGTTGTTGCCAAGTGGCCATGACCATGACTGGCCGTCAGGTACCAGCCGCACCACAAGAATAAATGCCTGTTGTAGAGGTGCCAGGGTTACAGGGTTGTGACCACGGAAGAGCTGTCTCCTGCCCGAGGATAGGCTACCCCACACTTTGGCAGCGGGCGCCTGGCGACCAGCAACAACCATTCCAGGGCTGCCTGTGTGTTCACCTCCGCACCTCCATATTTGGCACAAGTACAAAGGCGGTCAGTGTCTGTTGAGTGACGTGCGGCAGGATCAGCATCTGAGACAACTGCTAGCTTGGGATTGGCGATGCGATTGTGTCGTGTCTGGTCAAGAGTAGCCGCCGTGCGTCGCTGAAGCGCTGATTGCCTGCAAATTCCAGAGACGAAGGAAAAAACAGGTGCAAACGATGAGCGGGTAGATTAGCCCACTCGAAGCGACACGAAACATTGCGGACGCCGCCGCCGTGGTGATGCGGCTTTCCGACGCTGTGATGGGGTGGGCAGAGGGACGTTGGATGGATGCGTCGGCCAGAGCCTGGATGGGAATGGATTCTCCTTTGGGGGTCTCCATCAGTTCATTTCCTCCTCATCTCCTCTCGGCCCCTCTCTGCTAGTGTCTGTCGCATTGTGACAGGCGTGCAGGCTATTCCTCCGAAAGTCAAGATGTGCGGCTCCATGTGCCTTTTTGGGGAGGAGAAGACATGGAGAATCGGATCAAGCCCTGGATACCCGTTTTGTCGACCGGGTGCCTGCGGGAGGGAAAAAGGAGAAGACGGCGTCAAGAATGAGGAGAGAGAGTATAGCGACAAGCCAATGACCATAGGTTCGGCCGTCATTGGTGCGTGTGTCCTTGTCCTGTCTCGGCAAGGTTTCCGGGGCTTCTGTGAGGGGTCTGTCCCCAAAAGTCATTTCGAGCCTGGGTAGGAAGCCGGTGATGACAAACGGATTGGTGTTCGGCGATGGTCGGCTACGATGCTGGGGTTTGGTTTGGTTTGGTTTGGTGTTTGTTTCTGCGTCTTGTGAGGCTTCCTTGTCAGCGCTCCAATGTCCCCACACCTGGTGCAGAGGTGTGCAAGCAAGACATGGTGTTTTCGTTAGACTGCAGGATCGTGAGTCCACCCGAGGAAGACAAGAAGAACAGGTAAGGTAGGTACTGTAAGGTAGCGAGCATGCAGGGGATCCTCGGGGCAGGCACATCATCACATGGAGACCCATTAGGTACCCCCCCCCCCTCTAAGGCCAACCTAAGCTGGGCAGGCGCCGGAAAGTTGGCAGGGGCAGTCGACAAATCTTGGCAGCTTCTCCAATGCGGAGTCAGACCCCACGAGCTGCTGCCCCCAGATTCTCCTTCCCAGCCCGCCCGCCGCCCCCTGACCCTTCCTCCTTCACCTTCCTTCCTCGCCAG